AGAGAGCCATCTCCGGCAGCTATGGATTTGGAATCCACGAGTAGAGCGGCAGCACCGGCCACAGGCCCCACAGTGGGCCTTGCAGCATGAGAGGGCGAGCCGCACACGCGGCGGCGGAGGAGTCGCCTGAGCAGCAATGGCAGACACTGCCGCCCGGCACGGAGCCCGAGACGCACGTGCATGTGCACACACGTACGCACACACACACACACACAAACACACACACACATACACACACACTCACTCAGACCTCAGACCTGCCCATCGCGGAAGTGATGATAGCGAACAGCTATGTTAGACATAGCAACTTGTGCTGGGATTACACCATACAACAGCTTGCAAGGCTGATGAATTGACCGCCACTAATTTTTGGTTTGGTATCCACCACACAGCTGTTTTTGAAGTGGCTTTTTCTGGACAGTGAATCCCTATTTTCCAATTTTCATTTTTCTTCTTCTTTTTTTAAATTTTTTTGACACACACCACACAACATAGTCGGGCATACACTGGCTGTTGGTAACCACCCAGGAGAATAAAAGAAGAGGTAGGAGAATGAGAAAGAGAAAAAAGTCGTGTGCGACCATAATCGTCAGGAATTAAACCCGCAACCTCTCGATTGGAAATCGACTGCGCGTACCACTGCACCATATGGGACACACATATATACACACACACACACACAGACACACACACACATTAACTAAGAAACGTTGCACGTCGCCCACACGTTGAGTGACATGTTCAATGACACGTTCAGTGTACCATCACTCGTGCATGCACAATGTTGTTTGGCCGACATAGTCACCGTGAAGTGCAGTGCACACGACCGTAGTCAGTAGCAAAGCATGAGAACACAGCAACAGCACTATCAAACATAGCAGCATAGCTTGAGCGGTAGCACGAAGCTGCGTGCACCCATTAATCTGCATTATCACTGCCGGAGCAGGATTTTGGCTGAGCCAAGAGGATAGACAGGTCTAAGGGACGGGGACCGAAAAGTCCCTCGTTGGCTAGGCATTATTTGTTTGTGTATTGAGACAGCATGTGATAAACAGGATACTGAGAAGAGTTCAAGCAACACAGATGTGAACACAGCCAATGTCTCGCAGTAAGACAATTATCTTGATGAGCTCCTTGCCGGTGTCCCGCATTCTACGCCAGAACATTGCTCGTGCAGCAAAGGGAGCTTGCCCAAATAGAAGGACGAACTTTACTGCAGTGATCGGCTCGACCTTGGCGCCAGGCCGCTCCGCAGCTGTGGGAGCAAAGGTTGTGAAGGCATCCAACTTGGTCCGTACAGAGCATCAGCCACCGGCATTGGAGTTGACTGGCAAGTATGATGCTCTAAACAGTAATTGGTGCTGGACACAGATAAGTAGAGGGTGAGGACGAGTGCAATGACCACAGGAGAACTTAACGGTGTGTGCCCACCTTCAATATGTTGACAGAGTCTGGTGCCACCAGCTCAGGTCATCCTTAGTTGAGGCTGAGAGGTTCAGCATTCTGTGGGATGATATCTCAGATGTGGCCTTGAAAAGGGCAGACAAGCAGCGTAGGGCAGATGGTGGGTTGCGAATGTGAGTTGGACTAGAAGGCAGGCGAGTTCGTTCTTTAGGACGCAACCCTTGTCGAGTGTGGCAGATACTAGATAGGTTGAGCGTTATACTGGAAGACCACATAGATAGTTGCACAAGAGTGGCCTAAGCATATCTGCTGGCGGACGGAATTCATGCAACACGTCAACAGCTGGCTGTACAATTTGGTTGGGATGTCAGTGTCATCTGCAACAGTACTAACCCTCATCCAAACTGGAGCAGACTGCAACACCATGGGCATAGGCCAGCCTGTGACTTACTTGGGTAGTGCACCTCAATAGTGACAAGTACTAGTACTTGATTGATTGATGCACTGCGCGTGTGTGTGTGTGTGTGTGTGTGTGTGTTTGTGTGTGTTTGCATGTCCGCGCGCGTGTGCGTGTGTGAGGGTGTGTGTGTGTGTGTGAGGGGGGGGGGGGGGAGTTCCTTACCCACCAAGATGGTTGTGATCAGCAACAAGATGACTATGCATGGCTATGGCACTGTGCAATCAGCTCAGAGGACCAGTGCACATGACTCACAAACACAGTGATGCAGCTGTTCAAAGAATGTTATGTCCACTGTACTAGTGACTTGGTGTGGAGTTGCACAGCCTGAGGTTGCAGAACTGATTTTGACAAAACAAGGATTGTCGCTGGCAATGACAGGTAGACCTATTAGTACAATGATGTAATTGATTGCTTGATGCCAGGGTTAGGGCTGTGCCTGGGTCAGTGGGCGCAGACTAAAGTAGGGATGACCACTGTGTCAGTATACTGTCTTTGCTGCAAAGCATGAGCAGTTGAAGTGGCAGGATGGCAGTTGCACTGCACTGGGCACTGTGCACTGGGCACTGGGCACTGGGCACTGGGCACTGGGCACTGGGCACAGGGCTGGATGTTACACACCTCAGTGACTCAGTGACT